TATTCATAGCTGCTCGGTGCCATCCGGCAAGATATATTGTTTTAAACTTTCTTTTCAATATTAGTCATATGGTTACTGTAGGCAAGCTAGAATTTAACTCATTGTACCAACACATGAGAGATGTTGTTTCTTTCACAATGTATACCATGCTATATACAAATCAAATAAAGAAATAATATTTACTTACAAAAAAAAAAAAAAAAAATTATATAATTATGGCAAAATCATATGATTGCATTATATTAAAATAATTACAATACAATTGCAACATTGTGTCACAATTGTATCAATTGCGTCAACTATAAAAAAATTTGTTTGACTCAATTCAATAATTTCTGCCATATGTATAATTAGTACTCTTTAATCATTCAATCAGATTTTATTTAAAAATTAAAACAAAAACTAAATCTGTTTAAACCAGTTTTGTATCACAACAACAACAATCACAATAACAACGTCAATCACATTACTACTGACAATATAACAACAAATAATATTACATATACTCTATTATTTATAATAATCAAAAAGCTGAAGAGATGGAACAATGAACCTGTTGATGATTCTTTTGGAGAAATAATTGATTTTCTACTTATAGATTTTATATATATTTTTTTTTCTTCTTTAATCACTTTACTTACAAATTTATAAAAAGACTTTACAAAATTTTCTGAATAGGTAGGCATAGCCACTATTTAGACACAGCTAGTATATAGTATTGTTTTGAATTTTTTTAATTAAATATGTATACATAAGCAACCTAGCATTTAACTTGTTACTTTATTTATATAAGAGATGTTTTTTTCATAATGTATATTCTGTTATATACAATATCAAATAAAGAAATGATATTTATCTATAGAGAAAACTCTTCAAAAAAAAAAATAAATTAAAATTTATAAGTCAATAACATAATAGATAATGCTTTCAGATTTTCAAATACATATTTATAGTTTAATACTCACAAAAATCAAAATATATTAATAAAATATACTGTATATATAAATTTATTAATTTCTCTATATACAGTACATAGTCTTAAATATTCAAATTTAGTTCTTATTTAATTAGATTATATAAAAATAGGACCTTTAATCTTTTTAACAATTATAAGTTAAAACAGATAAAAAAAAAATTATATAAAAAAAAGTTTTTGGTTTAACTAAATATATACAGTACATATTAAAAAAAAATTTTTTTTATTTAATATGTTTACTAAAAAACTAAATAATTCTGAAAATGATTATTGATATAAATATTAATATATAAACAAAACTTGTAACTAATAAGAATTATATTTTGCTTAGTTAGGCTACATGAAGATGGGACCTTTGATCTTCCTGACGATCACAAGCTGAAAACAGGTCGAAGCAAGGAAGGTTGCACAAGGAAAGACTTCTGGTCTAACTCCGGTATAAGCCTACAACTCTTATCAAAATTGGCAATGGCAGACTTCGTCATACAAAGAACATCCTAGCCTGGGGCTATCCCAATCCGGCGCTTCCTTAAAAGAAGGTTATATCTCGAAAAAATATACTTGGTATAATTGGAAGCCGCAGGTGGTGACAAAAAGTAATTTACCTTCTCTGAGGTTCTGAATAAAAAATATATACGGGGATATTTGAATATTCCACAACCATACCTCTGAAAGATAATAACTGTGCCTCTCCCATGACAGATGCAATCAAGACAGGATCTAGATTAGGTTAGATAGTTTATAAACTAGTGGTAGGATTTTCTGTCCCCTAAAGATCCCACCCAGGGTGCAAATCCACCTTCAAGGTGTTCAATTGGTATACTGGGTAAGTCTATAGGTGTAGAAGCAAGGTTAACTTAAATGGACTTTAGTGTATCTGTAATTGGACATAAATTACTCAATAAAATGCATATGCACAAAGCATCTTTCACCTGAAAAAAAAAAAAAAAAAAAAAAGAAAAAGAAAAAGAAACTTGAAATTATTTATTAATTAAATAAAATTATAAGTTTAAAAAATTAACTTGAAAAAAAAATTAATAATGAAAAATTAAATTTTTTTTAATAAAAAGTTTTTGAGTATAAAGTTTCAAAAAATATTTTCTTGAAAATATTCTTAAACATTCTTAATTAACAATAAGAATAATAAAAATTAAACAAGTTTTTTTAACTATAAACAGTTGAACTAAAAATTGATTTAGAAAATTTTTTATTTATCAGCACAAACTTTTCAATTTTATATTTTTTTTTTTCTTAAATTTATTTTTATAAACCACAGTAGTTATGTAAAAATAATAGTCTTGAATAAAAGTTGACTGTAATATTTTAAAATAAACATGAAATGTTTTTCAAAATTGAGTAACTTTTTCATTTTTCCACAATCATATTTAGAAGCCATTGGTTATTGACAGATGTATTGCATAGCATTACTTAATATATAAACTTGTATATTAGTTTTTATCTAAGATTAATAACTAAAGTGACATATAACCTGATTTGAAGTAAAAAAAAGAACTAATATTTAACAATAAAAAAAAAAAATATCTTTATTTTCAGTTATATTTAAAAACATTAATCTAAAATGAATATTCAAGTTTATATATATATTTTTTGTAAAGATTCGCAGATCCGCACTTGTTTATGAATTTCACTACCCGTATTTAAAAAATAGATCTACGAAAGTTTATCACAAAATTCGCGTTTATGGCTGAAGAAGTTCCCCTTTCCTTCGAAGCAGAAACTTTTCGTAAGATACAGCCTCAGGAATACCTGCGTAGATTTACTCAAAAAGATATCAGGCCCGATGGTCGAGAGTTAAAGCAATTTCGACAAACGACAATTAATCTTGGTAAAATAATATTCCTACACCATTTATATTGTCTATGCTACTATTAATGACTCGGAATTATTTCACAGGTTGTATAACAACGACCGATGGTTCTTCAATGGTCCGGATAGGAAATACAACTGTTATATGTGGAATAAAAGCAGAAGTTTCAGTACCTAATCCGAATTTCCCCCAAAAGGGATATTTGGGTAAGAATTGCTTCGAAAAAATAAGTTGAAATTTTCAATTATTATAATTTTCATATGCAGTACCAAACGTGGATCTTGCTCCAATGTGCTCTCCTAAATTTAAGCCTGGTCCACCTAGTGAACAAGCACAGGTGTTGAGTGAAAATTTGAATAAATTATTGAAAAGGTATTATTAAATGGATCATTGTATTATTATGTAATAATATTAACAATATTAGTTTTTAGCGCGTCGATAATAGATCTAGATACTTTATGTATTCATGAAGGTTTTGCTGTTTGGGTTCTGTACGCTGATTTGGTTTGTGTCAATTACGATGGTAATGTCTTTGATGCTTGTGTGATCGGGCTAATTACCGCTTTGTCAAATGGTAAGTTGGAAGAAATGATATTGCTATTTTGGTTAAATACTTGTCAACTGGCTTGTAAATTTATAGTGAAACTCCCCGAGGCAACATTCGTGGAAGAAGACGGTCTGGTAAATGCCACTGAAGAACGATCAATTCCTCTTAATATCTCTAGATTACCGTATCCTGCAACATTCGCAATGTTTGATGGGTAAGTAAAAATTTTTTTGTTTTATTCTACTTTTTTTAAAAAAAATTTTTTATACTTTAAATTCGTCATGATGGATACGATGTCATAGGCAATATTTATTGGTTGATCCAACTGAATTGGAGGAGTCGATTGCAAATGAGTTGATTACCATTATCTGTGATGAATCTGAAAATATATGCGCAGTATGGAAAGTAGGAGGAGTATTCTGTAATTCTGAATATTTAAAAAAATGTATATCGATTGCTCGAGAAAGATATGCTGAGATTTCGGCGATTATAGAAGAAGCAAGACGTAAGGAATTTTAATCTATATTTAATTTTGACAGTCTAATTTCAAAGGAAAATTAAACATCAAAATAGAATGCTAATATGGTTTGAAGTTGAATTATTATAAAGTATTGTGATGCAAGTTCTATTTGTAAAATCAAAACCTTAATTTATTGATGAACTATTAGAAGATATAATAACTTTTTAGTTAAAAATTAATATAATAATATATAATAATAAAAACAATGTATAGTATTAAATTGTCAAAGTTAAGTTTCTAATTAAAAAATTATTGATAAATTATTGCTAGTTATTAGTGGAGTAAAATTTTATTTACGAAAAAAATTATAAAAAAAAAAAAATTTTTTTTAAAGCTAATTAAAAATTAAATTTATGTATTTCATTATAAAAAATAGTTGTTAAATTAATTGATAAATGCCAAATATAAGGTTTTATTTATTTATTTATTTATTATTATTATTTTAAGATAAAATGCAATATATGTACAATTTTATTTAATTCAAATAAGATTTTATTAAATCTTCAAGTTTTAATAATTTATATTAAATATTTATTCTATTAAAATTAAAAGTTAAAATATGTTTATTAGATTATTTTTAATTAACAAATTATTTATTACTATTTTAATATCATATAACTAATTATATAAATAAATTTTAAATAAAATTTTATAAAAATAAAAAGTTTTTTCAAAAATAAAAACTTTTATTTGTTTATTCTTGATTTTTTAAAAATTTCTTTATAAAAATTTTTTTATGTTATATAAGCCATAAACTTAAAAACATAAAAGTTTTAAAAACTATTGTTATATTGAAATAGACTTTTGATTAAAAATAAAAATTATATTTGTTCTTTAGTTATACAAAAAATATTTATAATTTTTTTTAAAAAAATTTGTTTATATATATATATATATTTATATTTAAAAATATTATAATACTATAAATTTATTTCTAAAATTATATTCAAATAAAATTATTAGCTTTTTTACTTTTTTTAATCAAATCTTTTTAAATACTTTTTTATAATATATAATATTATATTTTGTTAAAATTTATAAATTTTAAAGTAATAAGAAAAAATAACTTGTGGATCTATAGTGTAGTGGTTAACACTTCACAGGTTAGATCACAAGATATCAGTTTAATCCTAGGTGAAAATGATTGAATAGTACTTATATGGTATCTGGCACCATAATCTGTTAAGTGCTGTTTCTCATGCGAAGCCGTTTTACATACTGATCTAACAGGCATTGAGATTGTGACCTTTCAGATAAGGTGTAGTAGCATAACAATTGTCAGGATAGTGGCACGATAATCGTTTGTGTAACCAAAAACTCACCTACATATTTGGATATACAGATTGGGCTGTACTTTATCTTAATCAATCCCAAGCTGCGAAATTCTTTCCTGCTAGCAATTAAAAGTAAGAAGTCTTGAAGAAAACTCTGTACCGACATTAACATATGGTCATCCTTATAGCGGTCCTAAGGCAAGTCCAAAAAAGACATCCTCTGATACCATAGTTGTATAAGTGAAAAGATATGATGTGATAGGTAATCTACTTAAAATAGTTAGCAGGTCCATTGTTCCTACTTATAGTTGGATTAATAGATATAATAGTTTAAAACTAGTTGTAGGATTTTCACCCTCTAGATAGTTCCCCTGAAAACAATGTGACGCATCTCAAGAATAAACAGCATATTGACAAGTACAAAAGTAGATAGGCTAGCATTTAACTATAGTCATAACATTATAGAGGATGTTTGATGTAACAAAATTTATAATTCTAAGAATATGCAATAAAATCCCACATCTAATGCCATTCTACTAAAAAAAAAAAAAAAAAAATTAATAAGAAAAAATCAAAATTAATTTAATTTTTTAAAAAATCAATATACTATAAATATAATAATAAATTAAATTCTAATAATTCAACTTAACAAAAATCAAACTAGTTTAAATTTATTTATTATTTTTATTATTTTTACTTCAAATTAGGTTGTATACTATTTATATTTATTAATTCTATACAAAAAACATTTACATATATATATTAAAAAATATTATAATAAGACTAAACTTATTAATACTATATAGTATATTTGTTATAAGTTAAAGATCTTTAGATATAATTATGGGGAATAAAAAAAATTGTTCTATTTTATTTTGATACTTTTCATCAATTTAAAATTATAATCTTATGAAAATAAAAAATTTTTATTTTTTAAGAAAGATAAAATAGAAAAAAAAATTTTTTTGTATTAATAAAGTAGAAACTTTTTTTGAACAATATCTAGTTTAATCACTTATAGTTATATACTTATTTAATTTTCACTATTCTAATTATTGATTAAGAATATTTAAGAGCACTTTCAAAAAAGTATTTCTTGAAACTTTATGTTTGAAGATTTTTAATCTTTAGAGAAAATTAATATATTGTTTAATAATTTCTCTTTCAATTAATTCTTCAAGAAATTATAGCTTTATTTAACTAGTGAATAGTTTCAAAATCTTTTTTTTCAACTATTTTTGAGATAATTAATAATAGAATTATCTTATTGTATAAGATAGAATATGTGGAATTTATATATTGTGTTTATATTTCTTGCTATATATAGATCAATTAATTAAATTTTGAACCAATTATTATTCAGAGATTTCAATATAACCAAAAATTCATAGTTAAATTAAAATAAATAAAATTTTTGAAAAAAACTAGAAAAAGTTTACATATTTAAGAAAATAAGTAAAAGATATGAGAGAGATAAAAAAAAGTTTCAAAAATCCATAATTATCATCTCTAAAGTCTTAAATCTTTAGAGAAAAAAAAAAGTATTGTTTTTACAAGTTCCTTTCCTTAATAAAATGTTCTTGTTTTTGACTTTATAGATAACTTTTTTTTGTATTTACTTACAAAAATATTAGAAGTTTATTTCAAAAAAAAAAAAAAAACAAATATAAAGAGATTGAAGTCTTTAAATAGTAATGTTATTAAAAAAATGTATAGACTTTATTATAAAAAAATATAAAATTATTTTGAAATGCCTGTTATTTAAATTGATAAGAGAATTAATAAAAAGAATTTTTTTTTTTTTACTAGTTTAAATTTATTTTTTTTTGGGGGGTTTCCCCAGTAGATAAACATCATTTCTTTATTTTGATTTGTATATAACAAGGTATACATCGTTGAAAGAAACAATATCTCTCTTATTATTTTAGAAGAGTTAAATGCTAGCTTGCCTACTTATCAATATCTAACTAATATTATAAAAAAATTCAAAATCAATATTAAAGTGCTAGATAAGGCTGAGTAGCGGCTATGCCTACTATTCCAGGAAATTTTGCGAATTCTTTTGATTTTTTAAATGTAAAAAATTATAAAGAAAAATAAAATTGACTATAACTAGAACTAAATCAAATATACTATATAATCTATGCGTTGAATGAAAGAACTTC